CAGTGACACAATATTCCTCATTATGTTACTAAGTAACATAATGAGGAATATTGTGTCACTGCCAAAGGGTATGGATAATGTATCTCTGCCATTGGGCACAACTCATTGGTAAAAAATGCCCCCCATGAAAACCTCTTCCATACCACTTAGACAGCCGATATTTTCTATACCCATTGGACAAATATTACTTTATGACCGCTTGGACAACACATCCATAAAAAATGACCCCCTTGGACAGACAATATTTTCCATAACCCTTGGACAATCATTAATACATGCACCCCCTTGGACAACATATCAATAAAAAGTGACCCCCTTGGACAAATTGTCTGAAATACCCCCCTTGGACATCTCTTCCATACCCCTTGGACAGATATTTTCCATACCCCTTGGACAATCATTTATACACGTGCCTTCAACAACTTATTAGTAAAAATGACCCCCTTGGACAAATTGTCTAAAATACCCCCTTGGACATCTCTTCCATACCCCTTGGACAGATATTTTCCATACCCCTTGGACAATCATTTATACACGTGCCTTCAACAACTTATTAGTAAAAATGACCCCCTTGGACAAATTGTCTAAAATACCCCCTTGGACAGATATTTTCCATACCCCTTGGGCAATCATTTATACACGTGCCTTCAACAACTTATTAGTAAAAATGACCCCTTGGACAAATTGTCTAAAATACCCCCTTGGACATCTCTTCCATACCCCTTGGACAGATAATATTTCCCATAACCCTTGGACAAGCATTTATACATGCGCCTTCGACAACTTATCAGTAAAAAAATGACCCCCTTGGACAAATTGTCTAATTTAATACCCCCCTTGGACATCTCTTCCATACCCCTTGGACAAATAATATTTTCCATACAACCTGTCTTTTTCAAAACAATACCCCCTTGGACACTGTTATCTGAAATATGACCCCCTTGGACCTATTTTTTAAATACCCCCCCTTGGACAAAAAAATACCTCTTCCATAGGGGGGGTGCGGATAATTTCTGGAATAGCCCAATAGAACACAATGTCAAGTTGACCATATTTCGGATATGGTGTAGTCATTTGTAAATTATAAGACAGGACAATGTTGTGTCGTTCCAGTCGGACGCTTTAATTGGAGACATTTTGTAATTATCGAAAGCAAGCAATCATTGAGCTGAGAAGATTTGAATTTAGACAAAAAAGTTTACCAATGTTTGATAGCAAAATTTAATTGTCAGTTTGACCCCTTTTGTAGACTTAAAAATTTTCAGAGGTTTAAAACTTGATGAAAAATATTATCAATGCACCTTTGCTTTATAAAGGTCACTGAATTGGACAAGTTATTTTTAAGTCATTTTGTTTTATACAGTTGTGCAAAAATATTGACTTGTTTGAATTAAGCCGAAATGAATTACATATTTTTGAACTTGCAGAAGTTTACAAGTTTAAAGGAAAAATAGTTGCATTTTTGTTCTTTAACTTGCATTTAGAAGTTGCAAGTGTTAAAGTTTAGCCCTATTTGCTCATCCTTTTTTGCACACAAGTCATTGTTCTAGACCGTCATTAAATGGAACATGCTGATGTTACTTTTAGCATTACACTATAAATATTTTACTATTATACTATTTTCAATGAAAAATGACTTTTTTTGTGGTGCGGGGGCATTAAAATGGAGGCATACAGTATGTCTAATAAGAATAATTGTCACTGTATGATATTTAGATTTTTAGCTTGACTATTTGATAAGAATAAGTAGAGCTATCCTAGTCACCCAAGCGTCGGCGTAACCACTTATGGTAAAGTTTTTGTAACACCTTAATTATTTTTAAAATCAATTGACATATGGCTTTGAAACTTTGCACACTTGTTTACCATCATGACCCAAACCCGTAGACAGGAGGAGGTAACTCTATCTAACATTTTGACAGAATAATGCCCCTTTTCAACTTACTTTAAAGTTTCTGTAACACCTCAAATATTTTCAAAGATGAAAGTCCATTGACATAAGGCTTTGAAACTTTGCACACATGTTCACCATTGTGCCCCCAACCTGTAAACAGGAGAAGATAACTCTATCAAGCATTTTGACAGAATTATGCCCCTTTTTTACGCCCATTTGAAAAAAAGGGGTGGATTATAGTTTCCCCCCTAGCGGGTTGGCGGTCTTGCAAATTGGCCCTTTTGTGAATTTTACATCTATTTCAAGGCTCATAATTTTAATATCAAGCACTAAGAAAAGTAGAGCGTGCTGTCTTACCGACAGCTCTTGTTTCACTCTCTCTTGAAACACAGCATGACTGCTAAATCTTCCCTAAGTGGATTTTTGAGACTCCTCTGTAGGTTTGCAGCTTTAAATTAAAATTAAAACAACACTCAGTTGTAGATTTAATAAAGTATATGGTATTACCAAGCTAGCATTTTTTTTATCTTTACATTGCATTTTCATGAATTATTGATCTCTTTCAAGTTTAGTTTGTTTAAATGCCCCATTTAGCCTAAAAATTATATTTTCATTATTCTCATGTTATGTGTCCTGTAATAATTTCTAAAAACATACTCATTGGCTATAAAGCTTAATAACCATCTTTAGCATCTTTTGCGTTCAGTAAATTGTACAATTATTAGGATTTAATATTTGTGTATGAAGTAAAGATATAACTTTATGTTCTGCTACCATTATGACACGTTATTTCACATGCAGTTTTGTATGATACCGTACAGTGTTACTAATAAAATACTTTCCGGTGATAAGTATTTTATAAATCCATGTTGAAACATTATCCCGCTCCTGAAAAAAAACAGCAACAAAAACATGTCAATCAACTTTGAGAAGAATATTTTAAGATTTTAAATTATTCACAATTCAGGTCATGACTGCTTTTGCAGTATTTATCACCATATAACTAACACAGTATGGATTTTTTGTGTGCATATTAAAATTATTATTTTGACCTTTATTTGGTAAGTTACCTGGATTGAAAGTGCTGTTTGCAGTATGTAAATTACTTTCTTTGTCAGACTTTATGAAATACATAAATTACTTTCTATGTTAATTATGAAAGTAAGTACGAGTCTGGTGGCATGCTCTTTTAAGACTTTGTGCCTTATATATATTGGAAACATTATAATAGTAATTATTATGAATCTGGACAAATGCTGCTTCAAATATCCTGGAACAAACCAGTACTTGTTGTCATATTAGGGCCCTAGTGGCCTCAAAACCCATGAATTTATGAGACCAGGGTTGTAATTTGAGTGGCGGACACCTCAACCTTTTTTGAAATACTGTGTCCTTGATATACATGTAAATAAATATAGATATGCTGAATTAAGGGTATACACAACTTCCATGGTCAAGGTCATTTAAGTGTCAAGTTCAAATTTATAGTTTGGTCCTTCTAAAGGTTTTCTCCTAAAAGTTGTTGTGTCCACGTATGTTGATAATAAATTAAGAAATTAAAAAAACTATGATCAAGATTAAAGTTTTTAGATGGCAGCAGCAATAACACTATGATGTTTGCAATAGTTGGATTTTTTTCTTCTTCCAAAATATTGAGCATACCATGGTATTTACCTGAGTCTTATGTATCTGCCATATAGCCACATTTCTTATGTCCTTTTTTTTTCATCTTCCTTTATTGCCAATAGATTGGGGACTTAATTGTTTACAGGAAAGTTTTTATTCAATCTTATAGGTTGGTTAGTGAGTTTTAAGTGCTCTCAGCCTTCTCCATTGTGGCAGGCAATACAGTCTTTTTACGATAATATTTCCTCTATACACAGTCTTGTTTTAAGTCCTCTTTAAATCTCTGAATTATGGCCTTTTTTTGTTTGTTTCCTGTAATTTATTGCATTGTACTGTAGTCGAGGACTTGCAAGGGTTTTCGAAATTGCTAATATTATCAGACGTTATGACATTGTTGGCATAATTTGTTGTGAAATGCATTTTATTTGGCATTAAAATGATGTACTATAGTTGCATATTTTTTAAGAAAGAGTTGGAAGTTATTTTTTAAATTCATTTTTTTTTCTGAAATCTGAAATGTTTGATAAAAATAAAAACACATGGCCCAACTGAAAATTTATTGTAATAATTGTTCAATAAATTGATATAAAATTTCCATAAATAGATACTTGAAGATTCTATGGTTATGCCATTACAATCTTTAAAGTGATTAAATTGTTGAAATAAGGCATTTGTTACCATCCCCACCCTTTCCCCCGACCCCCATATATAAATTAAAACTAAAGACCTTTGTTTTAAATTTAATTGAATTTAACACAAAATACAAAAAATATTCATGAAAATATCATGATAGAAAAAAATATATATCATTAATTTCTGGCCATGCATGTCAAATGGTTAAAGGCACATTATTCCTCTGAAATGAATATTCCACTCTGTAGAAAAGGGAATTACAATGTTTATGTTATATAATTTTGTAATAATTGATTAAATTACATGTAAGATGCTAAAATATTGCCTTGAAATAAAATAGCTCTGAATTTGAAATTTTTTGTCAGAAAGGTAGCAAATTTTTTAATAAAGTGGTATTATTTTGACTTCCATACAAAATTATAAATCACTATAACTGTAAGCAAAAACTGGCTAAGCTGTATCATAGCCAATGAATAACTTTTTGGGAACTGTAACTGCACACCAAAAATAAAGAGCTTTTATGAAATAAAAATCATAGCATTTTTGAAGCTCAGTAAGCCACAGAACAATATCTTTATGGGCCTCCTAAACAACCTTTTGTTTTAATCCTCTTTTACAATGCTAGCATACTTTCGCCCACTTTATCTAAATACATGTACAAACAATATACTGTACTTATTCAGTGCAGAATCGAAAGTTGATGATAAAATTTCAACATATAAATGTCATATTTGGGAAAGTACCAAATTAATTAAAAAAGAAAAGAAAAAGAAATAATCATGGGTTACTGAAGAAGTAAGAATCATAGAAAAGGGAAACTATCTTTGGATTATTAAGATATTTTGTTTAGATTAGGGTAGTGGGTAAAATGATAAAACAATATTTATTGATTGAATGATTTAAACAATATTTACTGGAAATATTTAGAAGATGGATTTTCCTGGTAAAGTTATATGATGGTGGATTTAGCAATTCAGTGTTAAGAGTTTTGTAAATATTTTGTGTATGCACAAGAGGGTATGGTATTGAGTCCTGATACCTCATCAAACGTCTTGTATAATGAAACATTGAAGACTAATAATGACTTGATGGTTGTGATATCTGAGAAATAAGGGAATTTATGATTAAAAAGGGAAAAGTTTGTGATTAAAAGTGAAAAGTTTGTGATAAAAAGCAAAAAAGTTTTTGATTAAAAAACAAAAGAAAAAGTTTTTGATATGAAAAGAAAAAGTTTGTGATATGAAAAGAAAAGTTTGTTGTTAATAAATTAAAGGTTTGTGATTAAAGAATGAACAGTTTGTGATTAAAAAGGGAAAAGATTGTGATAAAAGATGAAAAGATTGTGATAAAAAAGGGCAAAATTTGTGATAAGAAATAAAACATTTGTGATAAAAAAGGGGAAAATTGGTGATAAAAGATTAAAAGATTGGGATAAAAAGGGCAAAATTTGTGATAAGAAATAAAACATTTGTGATTATAAAAAGGGAAAATTTATAAGATGAGAATTTTTTTTGACAAAAATAGGGCAAATTTTAAACTTTGTGAAAAGAAACTTTGTAATAAAAAAAGGGAAATGCATACAATCATAGAAACTAAATTTGGTTAAGAATAATTGTATTTGAAAAATAATACACCAGGAATGAGTAGTTCAAGCATATGTAGTGGAAGTGTTTATAGAGGTGATGTCATCAAAGTCTTCATCTCTAGCAAAAGGTATTAAAACTTATGCCAATTTTTACTCACTCTATAGATAGTTCCCAATATTACAATATTTACCTCCCTTGCCAAAAGTGGCAGCCATTTTTTAGGGTCAAGATGCCATTTTTATGTTCAAGATTCTGTATTCCTGATGAAGGTCTTGAAAGACCGAAACCGGTAGGTCCTAGAATAAACCAGTTACAAAGTTTGTAATACAAACCATCCTGATGTTTGATGTGTATTATCTCCTTCTCTTGATTTACTGGTTAAAGATTCTGTATAATATAATTGACAAAATATATATATAAATGATAAAAAGTGCCGGAACACAAGAAAGATTATTTAAAAAATAACTGACATTAACTGGATTTTCTCAATTTAATTTATTGCCTACCAGTTTCTATAATCAAAGGGCAAATAAACATAAAACCATAGTTACAACGTCATTGACGTTATTAAAATTTTTGTGTTCACATACTTATGTACACATGTTTACACAAATAACGTCAAATGACGTTGTAACTATGGTTTTATGATTTACATCAATTGTTAAAATCTTTTTACATTTGCAGCAAAATATCTACATCTACATTATAGATATTTTTCTGCAAATGTTAAAAAATATTGTTATAACACCAATATGTAAAAGATTTTTTATCAGTTCTGGAAGATGATAGAGTTATGAGAGAATTTTATCTTAAGCTTAAGATAAATACTGGTAGTATTTGGAATGACCTAAAAAATGGCGGCCAGGGCAGGTAATATTTGCTATGTGAAAAGCATCTATAGAATTGTTTTTTAGGTTAATCTTTAGTCTTTTGGCAGCAACTGATTCTACCAATGCAATCCATGCAGACCATCTGATCAGCAGTCACTAGGCCCATCCATGCTATCTGATCATGGTCTGCACTGTCCACAATTCCAGTCAATATCTAAATGATTTTGAAATTTTCGCGAAGTGAATTTGAAAGATGGATAAATCTGTTTTATGTCAGATATACATGTATAGCAACGGCGGGGCAGTCAGGCAAGGGCTAAAAAAATGTTGTATCACTCAAATTTCACACAATAATTAAGAGTTGTGCAGTGCAGCATATCAAAGAGGTGTCAGCAAAATATATATACAATAGATATACCATAATATGATTATTTTGAATTTTATCAGTTGACATTTATTGTTCTTTATGTAATATAATTACATTTTTCCATATATTATTCATATTTAATATAACATCTGTATATAAAAAACATGCACACGGCCATGGATGTCCCTATATTTGCCATAAGTTTGTGGGTTCTACCAGGTGTTGTTCTGTACTGCTTAATTTAGTGTCATGAGACATTGATACAGCTACCCCTCCACTGAGATAACATTACTGTAAAAAAGACAATTTCGTCTGTACAGTGTTTGTGTGACTTGCATTTTATCCTGAAGTACAAGTGTATTAAAGGGACTCAACCAGCATTTTTTTGTCATGATGGGACTGGAAATATTTTTTCAAGATTTGAGTACCATTTTCATGTATATATATAGGTTTGGATCAATAACTTGTATTCAAAATGTCAGATCATTTGCTCACTTTGTTTTTCCAGAATAATCGTTTAATTGTGTAATATGTCCTAAAAACGAAAGTATTTAAAAGATTTTAACTTATTGGGCTTAGAATTATATAAAAGAAAGATTTTCATTTTCAATCTTACTATCTTTTTTCATATTTTTCCTTATAAGTGCCCCAGTTGATCTCTGTATTAAACAATGAAATAAATTTTGTCCTCATTAGTGTTTTTAGCTCGACTTTTTTTTTTTTGAAAAAAAACAGTAGAGGTATTGCTATATAGTCGCAGCGGCGTTGCTGTCCGCAAACTTGTACCCGGATCATAACTTATTTATTTCTTGTTAAGTATAAAAGCAGGGTTTAAGCCCAGGATAAATATGTCATATCTTCCTATTTAAGACAGTGTCTTTCTTGTTTGATTGATGGGTAAACAATTCTCCTGTTACATGGTCTATATTATATATTCTTCAGATTTAAAAACATTCGCTGTTTTATCTTAAGTGGTCAGCAATGAAAACTCCCAATTTCAATACAGAAGCTAAAGTTTATATTTGTTTTAGTCAAACACTTGTTATTTGCTGAAGATTGCAAATGATAACACTTCTTTATCAAATACCAGCCTTCCCTTTTGTTCTGTTTTGAGTTTTGGGAAGAAAAGTTTGATATTTTAAAGGTGCTTGCTTACTTATAGATATGTCAAATATTTGAACAATTTTAGTTTGTTTTGATGGTAATGTAAATATATTCTGAATGTACACTTTCACAATATTTAAAAACTCTTGTAATAGAATATATGGTACTGGTTAACATTTAAGTAATATATCCTCCATTTAAAGGCCCACATATCCTACATTTAATGGCCCAAAAAATGCATGGCCCAAAAAATGCTTTTTATACATGTATCTGAATCTGAAAAGCTTTTTTTTTGTGTTTAAGGTTCCAGAAAGTTACTAATTGGCCACATACCTGAACCATCTACTGCTTTTGTTGTCTTTTGATAATTATGAAGTAAATATATTGTGATTTTGTATGGAAGCCAAAATACCACTTTGTTCTCAATTTTCTACCTTTATAGCATAGTTTTTCAGATTCAAACACCAGGCTACTTTTGTCTGGTCAGATATTAAGCATCTACCATGCTCTAAATCTTTTACCAAAATATTATGAAACCCATGTTTGCCCTTTCTAGAGAAGAAAAAATATATTCAGTTTTTGGTGCTGTATGTGCCTTTAAAGATGCTGTGTTACGGTAACTTTACACTGGGTTTGTACAGTCTTAAAAAGTGCTTAATGTGTAATTCATTTATTTTTTATGTTAAATCAAACGGCCATTGGACAGTTGGTACATTTTGACTGTTTGCGCTTGAACAATGCACATGACTGTGTCTGCTGTTGTAAAAAGAGGCGTGTTATTGCACAATCAATAAATTACTGTATAATGCTGTATTATGATAATTATGGAAATTAAGATATTAGTCAACATCAAAGAAACTGTTCTGTTCATGAAAATGTATTGATTTGAACCCAATCCAAGTGTTCAATTATCCTCAAAGGGTTATCGGACAGTGGCGTATTGAAAGTTAAATGTAAATATTTGTGTACTAAGGACATGATATAAGCTAATCAAATGGATGATTAAAACTGAAGTGCTTTTTGTAAATAAGTGATATGTCCAAAGAGCTACTTGATTGAAATCTGAAAGGGATTTGATTAAGTTTATATCATTTGTGGAATATGTTCCGACTGGATTTGACAGATTTTTTTTGTTGCTCTCCAAAGTTTAGTGTGTTAAGATAGATTTACTTAATTGCCTAAGATTGGATTGAAATTATTGTAAAATTTTTTCATATTTTAACCATTAACAAATATTTCTCTATTGGATTTTTTTTTACGATTTTTAATAGTATTAAATGAAGATATCCGCCTTTCAAGAACAGTATATACTAAACTTAACCTATTAGGGGTGACAATAATTTTCATTTTACATTAAGTGGTCTTTTCACATTTTATATCTAATTTAATGCAGCACTACAATTTATAACTCTTTATCTGCCGAAAAATTGACAAAAAAATAAGAAATCGATATTGAATCAATGTGAAGTTCCGCGTATGTTATCAATTAATACAGAAGATCACTGGCTGTTTTTATGTATCCTGATAATAAAAATCTTCGCGTAATTTTAAAGAGAATTATCAATATGTAAGACCGAGGTGCCTACGAAAGTGGATGTATTTCCTTATAAATCATTAAATGGATTAATCTTATGTCAAACATGGTTTTAAACAGAAATGATTTCTATAACACATAAGAGGTATGTAAGAGGTTTTTTTGTTTTTTTAATTTATTTATTAATTTTTTATTATTTTCTATGATTTTTTCAAAATTTTTGGTTTATTTCCTACCCATTGATGCTATACATGTATTATTTTTATGATTTAATTTGCCAATATAATGAATCTGTAATTTATTTATTGTTATTTTAATTTGTAATTTTTAACCAGGTTTTTTTCCGAAGGAAAAAACTGGTTATTAGATTGAGGTATGTCGGCGGGCGGGTGGGCGGATGGGCGGACGGGCGGGCGGGCGTAAACAATTTCTTCTGTGCGCAACTCCTCCTACATTTCTCAACGGATTTTTGACCAAACTTTCACAGAAGCTTTGTCATCAAGTGCCCTGGCGCATATTGTCGGGGTTTTGCGATTAGATAATATTTGACCAAATTATGGCCCTTTGTTTTTTTTCCTTATATAAAATATATAGTGAACAATTTCTTCTGTGCGCAACTCCTCCTACATTTCTCAACGGATTTTGACCAAACTTTCACAGAAGCTTTGTCATCAAGTGCCCTGACACATATTGCCAGGGTTTTGCAATTGGTGTATATTTGACCTAATTATGGCCCTTTGTTTTTTTTCCTTATACAGAATATATACCGTATAAGTGGTTTTTTCTGCGGGCTCCAAATTCTGCGGTTTTTCAAAATTTTGGCATGTTTTTATTTCTGCGGACTTAATTTCTGTGGCACATTCTTTGGACAAAATGTGATTTAAATTCTAAGTCACATTACTTTACCTATTTTATTTGCATGTACACATTCGCATTAAAATTTTGTTTACCGTTGTCACCGCAGAACTATATTATATAGTAATTACAAACAATTATATTGTTTGCTTGCAAACAAATATAATGTGCATCAATAGACAGTTTGCATCTTTAAATCAGTGTGAAATGACGTGTGAAAAATATACCACGGTAGTATCTTTAATTTTATAAAATTGATAGAAGTTTATCGTAAATCAGACAACAATTAATGTATACGACGATTATTTAGCAGTATAAGGGTTTAAATGGTTTTAATGATTTAGTTGTAAACAAACCCTTTAGCGTACAGGCAAACACTATGATGTTTGAATTTCTTTGTTCATAAATTGGCATAATTAACAACAATTACATCCTTA